AGTGGACATCTGAAGCTAAACCTCCTAAAAACAGTGGAGCTGATCCAGAGGATGGACCTCTGGAGCATTACCTGCAAACCTTGTGTGCTATTTACACTAAAACTATGTTTAGAAGATTAACACAAAGACTGTACTCCCTGTCTCAACTCTCAATACACAACAGCACTGCCATCTTTCTGTTTGATGCACATCCATCTCTGTTTGGCTCATTTACAAAGCAGGACAGGTCTAAACAGCAACACACTATTAGGTCCTTGGGAATAAGAATCCCTCCATTCATAACCTTGAACCAAAAAAACAACATTTAACACCAGTGCATCCTGGTCAGAGGCTGTTCAAGCCCCTTTCCTCTCATCTGACATTTCTTTTTCCTATCCTTACCCCCCTTAGCATGCTTTTTACATGGTTTGGTTGCTGTTTTTACTTTTGATTATGATGTGAGCATTAAAGACCAAAGTCATATTTCTTGCAATTGGACTCTCAAACTTTGCAATCAATTAAATTCTGAATCTAGACAGGCTACAGCTAATTGTTACATTATAGTATATTTTAGGCTGGTCCCAAATGCAGATCAACTGAACCAGGGTTTTCAGAAATCACTGGTAGGAGCGACACTTTGTGCTGGTAACCATGCTTCTAAATGGGTGTTTATGGTTATCCGCAGAGGAATGTTACAACTCGGCTCCATGAATTGCATGAGCTCAGAAAAGTCTTCATAATCATCTGTGCTTATCGTATATTTTTATATCATGATTTTTGTGTAACAGCCTCCATTTTTCTGACATTACATCCTTATCCTATTCGTGCATTGCTAAGTTTGGGTTGAGAAGCTAACACCCCTTGGCTAAATGGGCACTATTTAGGAGATCTTATCGACTCTTTATATTTATTGTCAGACTGTGTAAAATGCTTTCTTAATTCTCGTCGTTTATAAGAGTAAAGTTGGACTTCATTTAGATTGGTTCATGTTTCTGCTGCTACCATGGAGCCATCAGTGTGGCTTTGCTTACTTCAATTCAGTTTAATGAACAGTGGAGCCCTCTTCTGGATGGCAGCAACATTACAACACTGAAATAAAGTCCGTTTGAACTTTATCAGATAATCGGATGGCACAAAATTTTGATCTAAAAAATTATTAACATATTTAAACACAGGCAATTTATTTGTTTTCATCTGTAGTTTAAATCAAAATGTTAACTTTATTAGGTGGGAAATTATTATTTGCATACATTTTCTAAGTTCACATTTACATCATTCTGTATCATCATGCAGTATTTTAACAAGTGACGTAACGACATTGTAAACATGCTAATATTAGCCTAGCTTTAAGGCTTTGTAGGTATGCACAAGATCAAATCTGTAGTTGTATGTGTTAAGTCAGATTTACCTTTTTAAACAGGTAATGAAGCTATGCCTGCTGTAGGCAATGATTGTGACAGTATTTATTGTTGGTACTGAATTTTCCTGGACATAGAAAGCATGGATTTCATTAGCTTTTTCTGATGCTTCAGCCCAATTATCTTAAATTATTTGGATTATTGTCGGGATGAAATGTCTTTAGTTACGGTAGTAATATCGCAAGTCATATTTACAGACTTAATAAGTTTAATTATTAAGGAATATTTTGAATGGAGAAAAATAAGCTTTTAATCCATGGCACTTTGATAAAAGCTTTCCGTGTTTTTGACATTTTATTTCATTTTTGACCTTTTGAGCAGATGTTTAAAAAGTTTTAATGCTAGACTAAGCCTAGGCTAGTTTCTGACGTGCCAGCATCAATCAATCATCCACTCTAGGCCCAACAAGAGCCCTTGTGCTTGATCATATTCCTAATGCATGCTGCATCTCTGCCTCCGTGTAAACTTCTGAACTTCTTGACTCTAATCTATTCCAGGCTTTAACATAGCAGGTTGTCCTCAATGAAAGGTCCCCATTCCCAGCTGTCCAGAGTCCTTGTATCTCTGCCTTCTGCAATCACAAGGGGAGATGCAAAGCACCTTCTCTCTCTTAATTTTGCAATCTATGACAACTGTGTTCTCAGCTGAAGGTTCTATAGTTAGAATGCTTGTTATTTACTGACGGTCACTTGAGGAGGTGTTGAATATGTGTCCTTGCCTCCAGACGTCCTTCTCTTGTCTTGTCCATCTCCTTAACTCCACTTTAACAATGAGGTTGTCTGTGGCTGCAGCATCAGTGCATAGGCTCAAGTTTGAGATCTATCACCGTTTAAAGAAGTTCCTTGCTGCTTTGGACTCAGCATTGCTTGAGAAATAAATGGGAGATAAGGTAGGGCTTAATTTATTAGATTTTTAGATATGTTTACAAGTGAAATATGCAACCATCTTATGCTTGTTAGATACAACATCTTTGTAATAGTAAAGCTGATGTTTGTAATTCTATATACTCTGTGTAGGTTGTAAAATGATATACTCTGTTCTACTCATTTCACAAATATTATTAAGCTTATTTAAGAATGTAAAATACAATAAACTTTGATTGAGCTTTATAGTAGAACAGATGAGCTTTCTGTCTAATGTTTTTGTTTTAATTGTCTTGTTTCTCCCTTAAACCATCAAAACCTGGTACTGTAAAGGAACCTGCATCAGCAGATTGTGGCTCCTTTCATCCAAGCATCAAACTTTAACAGGTAAAGTTACTGATTATTACGAGTAAGATTACATCAAATTTTGAAATATCACCAAAGCTGTTTTTTAATGATTGTTATGGTTATGTGTCCTGACATACAGTAGTAAAGTAAAACATAAAGCTTTATAGCGCTGGTTGTATTGCTGTTTGTTGTTTGCTCAAAAGGCATTATGAGTCTTTTCAGATTTTGCCTAAAATCATTTAACTTTGTTGTCCTTATGGAGTTGTTTTTTGTCCATCATTTGGGTTTACTTTTGTGCTGTATTTTCATGTAAAACCAACCATATATACATTAATCATGAGAATTATTAGTTTAAATACCATACCTCAATATGTGTTGATTATTTGATACCAACACAAAAAAAAATTCCCCCTAAAATTTGCATTTAAATCTACTACCTAACATGTCAATCTTCAAATCATTTATGATTGATTGAGTGATTGACTTAATTGATTTGACAGTGTAGAAATGTACTCGTTACATCAGATGGATATAGATATTAAAAAAGAAGAAGAAGGGGCCAAAGGAAGAAAACGTGGGCGTATACAGTATACTGTATATATAGTGCTTCCACATATACCGTATATGACAGCTTTTTAGCAGAATTATTATACAGGGTTATTGCACAGGGTATTAAATGGGTATTTATATAGATGGGTGTTTGTATATATAGCTATTGCACAGGGAATCAAATTTAAAAATTCATTATGTGTTATATGTTATGTTTTGTTCTGGTGATTGATTAAGAATCTCTTGTATTATATTTTGGTTTTTACTGAATATTTTAAAATGTAATGTACTGTAATTAGATTTTTTTTTTCTGTATACAGTTGTTGGTTTATTCTCTTAAATTCAACATCAATTTCTTGATATTTTAACTAGACATTTGTTTGGATCTAAATGTGTCTGTGTTTTAAAGATATTTTGGAATGTAGATGGGTTTTTTTTACATGTCTCTAGTGTCTAGTCATATCTGACTTGACATATTAACCTTTCATTCATTCATTTATGTCTGCTTACAAAGCAACTGATAAACAGCTCTACAATGATGCATTCCCCAGATTTTGCCGCTGAAATCTTTCAAGCTTTAGGATGAGGATGCTCAGGGTAGAGAAGACCAATACATCAGCTGGCTGATGTTTCATGCTTATATTTGTTTTTTTCTTGCATCAGTATCAACCAATACATGCATGCATTTGCCAATTTGCTTTCCATTTTGGCAACAATTAGAAAGAAACTAAATGCCAACTGAATGTTTTTAACATTTTTAATGGTTGTAAATTGATTATTTATTGACTTTATTTAATCTCACAGTGGAGAAATGTACTTGTTACATAAGCTCAAATAGTCAAAGAAGAATATATATATATATATATATATATATATAT